GGTAACCATATGTTTTACACCCTGTAGCTATAGTTTAATAAAAACATTAGATTGTGAATCAGAAGCCCACAACTTCTAAACTACCGAGAAAGCATGCAAGAACTGCTAATTCATGCCCCCAAGCTTAACAACTTGGCTTTCTCAACTTTTAAAGGATAGTAGTTATCCATTGGTCTTAGGAACCAAAAACATTGGTGCAACTCCAAATAAAAGTAAAAATACACTCTTCAATAATTCTAATAACAATAATTACACTGCTGGCGCCTATCATAATTACTCTAATTAACCCAAACAAAAACCTCCTATACCCTCACTATGTAAAATTAGCCATCATTTATGCCTTTACCATCAGCATCCTATCGATAACAATATTTATCTTTACAGGCCAAGAATCCGTAATCTCAAACTGACATTGAATAACAATCCAAACTATCAAATTATCGCTAAACTTTAAGATAGACTTCTTCTCTATTATATTTACCCCTGTAGCACTATTTGTTACCTGATCAATCGTAGAGTTTTCAATATGATATATAAGCTCAGACCCAAACATCCTCAAATACCTACTTATTTTCCTCGTAACAATACTAATTCTAATCACAGCTAATAATTTGTTCCAACTTTTCATTGGATGAGAAGGAATAGGCATGATATCATTTCTACTAATTAGCTGATGACACAGCCGAACAGACGCTAACACAGCAGCCCTACATAACCGCATTGGAGACATCGGCTTTATTCTAGCAATGACATGATTCTTTCTATACTCCAACTCATGAGATTTCCAACAAATATTCATTCTTGACTCCACTTCAAATTCTTTTCCCCTAATAAGCCTTCTCTTAGCGGCAACAGGAAAATCTGCCCAATTCGGCCTACACCCATGACTTCCATCTGCCATGGAAGGACCTACACCAGTTTCAGCACTACTACATTCCAGCACAATAGTTGTTGCAGGAGTTTTCTTAATTATTCGTTTCCACCCCCTAATCGAAAATAACCCCCTCATCCAAACACTAACTCTATCAATAGGCGCAATCACCACTCTATTACAGCAATCTGTGCTCTAACACAAAATGATCTAAAAAAGATCGTAGCCTTCTCAACCTCAAGCCAACTAGGCCTTATAACAGTAAGAATCGGCATTAACCAACCACACCTAGCCTTCCTTCACATCTGTACCCACGCCTTCTTCAAAGCCATACTATTCCTATCTGCAGGATCTTTTATTCACAGCCTATACAATGAACAAGATATCCGCAAAATAGGAGGCTTATTTAAGACCCTACCCTTCACATCCTCCTCCCTCATTATTGGCAGCTTTGCACTTGTAGGTGTACCCTTTCTCACAGGCTTCTACTCAAAAGACCTGATCATCGAGACCGCCAACACGTTGTATACCAACGCCTGAGCCCTAACAACTACTCTTGTAGCCACCTCCCTCACAGCTATATACAGTATCCGCATTATCTTCTTTGCCTTAACAGGATACCCTCGCTTTACAACTCTCATCTTAATTAATGAGAATAACCCTATGCTAATAAAATCACCTAGCAGTGGGTAGCATTTTCACCGGGTTTCTTATTTCTAATTGTGTTCCTCCTACCTCACACCCCCAAGTCACTATACCATGACACCTAAAACTTACAGCGTTAGGCGTAACCATGCTAGGACTACTTGTAGCAATATAACTTAGTTTGATAACTAACAATATAAAATTAAGCACCCCATTAAAAACCTTCTACTTCTCTAACATACTAGGCTTGTACTCAACCACTATACACCGACTCAACCCCCATTCAAGCCTATCCACAAGCCAAAACCTTACCTCAGCCCTATTAAACCTCTTCTGACTAGAAAAATCTATATAAAAAATAACAACACAAACTCAAATTTCGATCTCCACAACCTCATCAACTCAAAAAGACCTAATTAAGCTTTACTTCCTATCCTTCTTCATTACACCAACACTAGCACTACTCCTAACAATTTAACCCCCACCCCGAGTAAGCTCAATTGCAATATGCATTCCCATAAAACTAAAACTACTCAAATACCATAATTATACAAAGCAGGAGCACCTGTAGGATCCTCACGAATTAACCCTGGCCCATCACCCTCATAAATCATTCAACTTGACACAGTGTTATAATTAACCACAATCTCTACCGTTTTAACAGGGTTCCCACCTAGCAAGAATACCATAATTATCTCCATCATTAAACCGAACATGAAAATACCTAAAATATCTGTACTTGACACCCACGTTTCAGGATGCTCATCAATTGCTATCACCTCAGTGTAACCAAAAACTACCATCATACCCCCCAAATAAATCAAGAAAACCACAAGCCCCATATAAGGCCCACCAAAGTATAACGTAATCACACAACCTACGGCACCACTAAAAATTAACACTAACCCACCATAAATAGGCGAAGGCTTAGAAGAAAACCCCACAAAACCTATTACTAAAATAATACTTAATGAAAATAAAGCATATGTCATTATTCCCACATGGATATGAAAAACCATTTTTGTATTTCAACTATAAGAATACTAATGACCTCTTCCCGTAAAACCCACCCTTTAGCAAAAATCATCAACGAATCATTCATTGATCTCCCCACACCATCCAACATCTCCTCTTGATGAAATTTTGGCTCACTTCTAGGCACTTGCCTAATTATTCAGATTACCACAGGCCTATTCCTAGCAATACACTACACACCAGAAACTGCTACCCCTTTCTCTTCAGTCGCCCATATCACCCGAGACGTTAACTATGGCTGAATAATCCGCTATTTACATGCTAACGGTGCATCCATATTCTTTATTTGCCTCTTCTTCCACATCGGCCGAGGCTTATATTACGGGTCATTCCTTTTTCTGAAGACTTGAAACATCGGTACAATCTTACTACTTGCAACCATAGCCACAGCATTCATAGGCTATGTACTCCCATGAGGCCAAATATCGTTTTGAGGGGCTACACCATATATTGGATCTGACTTAGTCCAATGAATCTGAGGCGGGTTTTCAGTGGATAAAGCTACCCTCACACGATTCTTTACTTTCCACTTCATTTTACCTTTCATTATTGCAGCTCTGACTACCATTCATCTTTTGTTTCTGCATGAAACAGGCTCAAGTAACCCATCAGGAATCACCTCAGAACCTGGTAAAATTTCATTTCACCCATACTATACAACTAAAGACATTCTTGAACTGATCTTCCTCTTCCTAACCCTAACAAGTTTAACCCTATTTACACCTGACCTTTTAACAGACCCAGACAACTACACACTAGCAAACCCCCTAAACACCCCACCCCACATTAAACCAGAGTGATATTTCCTATTTGCATATGCAATCCTACGACCCATCCCCAATAAACTAGGGGGCATTCTAGCTCTAGTACTATCCATCCTAATCCTAATACTCATCCCCATAATACACCTATCCAAACAACAAAGTATAGCATTCCAACCAACTCAAATCCTATTCTGAACGCTAGTAGCTGACCTAGTTACACTTACATGAATTGGGGGTCAACCAGTTGAACATCCATTCATCGCCATCGGCCAAACAGCATCTATCATATATTTTCTCATCATTATCACCTTAATCCCCCTCTCCGCTCTAATCGAAAACAAACTACTAAAATGATAAACGTCCTTGTAGTATAAATTAATACTCTGGTCTTGTAAACCAGAAATGGAGAACACCTACTCCCCAGGACAATCAGGGAGAGAATATCTAATTCCACCATCAACACCCAAAGCTGACATTCTAATATTAAACTACTCCCTGGATTCTAAACTTTATCTTATTGATGGCCCAACAATAAAGTACTTTGCAAGTACACACAACATTTCAAACTTTTATGTAATTAGTACATTATTGTTTTACCCCATGAATAATATCTAGTACTACAAATGCTTAACTATACATAGCACATTAACCCTAAACGTACATAAAATCCTTGACTGCTTACAAGCAAGAACTAATATTGTACATTGGACTATAATCCATACGATCCTTAACCCACATACCGCACTCCAAACATGGATATCACTCACCAATGTAAAACCATTCATCATACATCCGCACATTAACATATTGATTGGACATAGCACATTTAGTCAAACAGTTGACACAACCATGAATATCCACCAAATACACTTGGTCTCTTAATCTACCAACCTCCGTGAAACCAGCGACCCGCCCACATCTGCTAGTATTCTCGCTCCGGGCCCATATAGACAGGGCTTGGTTATCCTGAAACTATACCTGGCATTTGGTTCCTACCAAATGGCCTCAGGGCCATAAAACTGAGATCGCACATACATTCCCCTTAAATAAGACATCACAATGGTGTGGCGCTATCACTCTCTTGTTCTCGTGTCACTGGATGCATGGGTGCCTCTTGTAGGAAAGGAATGTTCTCATCAGCATTGTCGGGAGACTCCTGGAAAGAGGTTCCAATTATCATTATCATCCTGTAGCACCTGACTGTGATTTGCCAGACTTTATGCTATCACCGTGCCTAATATTGAATGTCTTGGCAAATGCTGGTTCAGCACACAATTGTCATAATTATTAGTCCTCTGACTTGGGCCTAGATTTAGTCCTAGTAGGCTGAAAGGTTGATTCAGGTACCATTAAGTTTTCTGGTTAAAGTCATCATTGTGTTCAAATGATCTATCACCCACTCTGGAGGGCAGCACCAGCAGAGAAGCTATAAATACACTTCAAAACTGAGCCTTAGTGCTGGTTGTACCTTAACCACACACTCTACAGCCAAGAGAAATTAGCGATTGAGCAAAAAATGCAGACCAAATGCCTCTTGGAGATGGACTGAAGCAACTCCAAAGAAAGCTGTAAAAAAGTGACAGGAATTTGTTCTTCTACTTGGAGAGTGTTTGATTCAAACATGAGTCCAACGTATGCATCCTTAAGAGGACATGCTCTGCTGTTGTCTCATTTGAATATCCTTCAGTTCCAGGCTTTCAACAGGGTGTAATTGGTTCATGCTCCATGATTAGAAAGGAATTAAAGTTTGAAGGCAGAATGAATGGCCACAATGCCTGATGTTAGACTTTCATAAGTGGCCTTGTGAAAGCCTGCATCTTCTATCATCTCCTTGAACTCTTTCTGAGACAGGAACATTTGGATACTCTCTACAAGGTATTGATAGGACTTCCAGTCTCCAGCAATGACCTCTCCAGGACAGGGATGACCTGGAAGCTATATAGATCATAATGCCTGGATATGAGGGGATTGTTCACTTGGCTAAATTCCAGACACAGAAACCGTCCTCCTGGTTTCAGTACCCGATGGGCTTCCTGGAGTGCCTGATCAATGTGTGTGACATTCCGAAGCCCAAAGGCAATGGTGTAAATATCAAACTTGTCATCATCAAAGGGAAGTTCTTCGGCATCTCCTAATACCCATGCAAGTCCAGCTCTGTATCCTTTCTGCTTTCCAACCTTTAGCATCTCCTTGTTGATGTCACACACCATGACATGAGACCCACCCAAGGAATCTTCTTCATTCTGGTACTCTTTGGCAATTTCTTCCCAGGATAAACTTTGTTGGGCCCTTAACTGACTCTTCTGTTTTCTCTGATGCTGGGACTGAACATAATTTAGGAACCGGAATGCAATGTCACCTGTGCCTCCAGCAACATCAAGCAGCTGGGTCCCAGGAAGTGGATGTATATTCCAGAGCAGTAAATCCTTCCAAAGAGGATGGATACCAAGACTCATCATATCATTCATCACATCATACTTCTTAGCCACACTTTCAAACACCTGATGGACTTTGCCCCACTTTTTCTCTTCCGACACAGTCTGAAACCCAAAGTGAGTTTCCGTTACCTGCTTCTCTTTGGGGCCAAGAACCACGAAGCCCGAGGAGCTGACAGCCCCGCATCACCCGCCACCACCTACGACTGCAATAGTTCCATAGAGCCAAGCTTCTGGGAGCCGCCATCTTGGTACTCGAGTTAAAAGGCTAGAATGAGATTTTAATATAATATTTAACTCTAGCATTTACTTTTTACAAAAAATAAATATTTTCCCTCCTCTCTGGATAACTAGGTTCTGGGAAATGACTATCAGGGAGATGGAGAAGGCCTGTCTTTTCTTCTGATTTTCAGTGACCTCAGGAAATGTCTCACAATATTCTTTACACTAAAGCTGCCAGAATTAAACCAGAACCCTAAGTGCCTTAGCAGAGCCCTGTGTCTGAGAAAGAGGCTGCGCTTGAGCTGGTCTCAGTTTGCTCTGTCACTGCCACAGGGCTCTGCACTGGGGCCTGGCTACTAGACGGAAGGGTTAATTATGTTGGGGCTTCCCTCAGATTTATGACACATCCTCCTACCCCATCTGCACTCTGAGCTCCAGGCACTGTGCTGAGCACTCAGTTAATTGACAGTACCCACGTATCCCTGATATGTGACTGTCCCATGCCCCATTTCACAGAGGACAAAACCAAATCCAGGGGAGGAGAGGCAACTCTGGCCACTTGCAGAACTTGTCAGTGGTGGTGCTAGAATCCCAGTGTCAGCTTTTGGGCCCCCTCTGCTAGCACTAAGTCCAAAGCTCCGCTGAGCCTTATAAAACAAATGGAAATGGATTGCCCCACTCACAGCCCTAGGGTGAAACTGGGTCAGGCTCAATGTGAAGGATACTGAGCACAGAGCAAGTCGCATGTGAGTGGGGACTACCACTGTCTCATGAGCCCCTCAGGTCTGGAGGTTTTCAGTCATGTAATGGCCGCTGGCTCAGGGTGTATCAGAAACAGGGGCTTCCCCAGTGTTTGTTGTAACAGCCACCTGCCCCAGCCAGGACTGTTTCAAAGTCCTCCAGAAAATTTATCTGATGGCCACTCAACCGTGTGGTGTTCTAACGAGGTGGGGGTTGATAGGGGCTCATCTCTATGCAGATGCCACCTAACTGGTCCTTTGGTCCCTGTGAAGATAATACTCCCCTTCCTCACCAGCTCATTATTAAAACCATGACATTTTACTACAGCCTGGCAACCCATTTGGGAACCCCCTCTGTCACAGTAGCTAGGATTTGTCTCAGACTGGGGATCCCCTCTTGTTTTCTATTTGCAGTTGCTTAAATTTTAAAAAATTCTTTTCTGAAAAAAAATTCAGTAACATTTCCATATGCCAACAGTAAACAATCTAAAAAAGAATTAAGAAAGTAATTCAACTTACAATAGCTACAGATAGGTTAAATAGCTAGGAATTAACTGAACCAAAAAAGTAAAAATCTCTACAATAAAAATTATACAACATTGATAAAAGAAATTTATGACAACAAAGAAAAAATGTCCTCACACATGATACTCTGTGTTTATGGATAAGAAAAATCAAAATTGTTAAAATGTCCATGCTACACAAAGTAACCTATGAATTCAATGCAATTTCACACAAATAGAAAGAACAGTTCTACAAAACAGTCCTAAATTTATACAGAATCACAAAAGACCTAGAATAACCAAAGCTATCCTGAGCAAAAAGAATAAATCTGTAGGGATTCCATTATCTACCATGAAATTATAGTACAGATCTATAGTAACCAAAGCAACACAGAATGGCATAAAACACCAATGCACATGGACAAACAGAACAGAGTAGAGAACCTAGAGACAAATTCATACATCTACAGTGAACTCATTTTTTCCATAGGCACCAAGAAAATACATTAAGAAAAAAAAATCTCTTTAATAAACAGTGCTGGTAAAACTGGATATCCATATGCAGAAAAATAAAACTAGACCCTATCTTTGGCCACCTGCAAAAATCAACTCAAAATAGATCAAATATTTAAATTTAAGACTGCTATGAGAAATAGATAGGCTTGAATAACCTCTGTTCTTTCTGAATTACTCCTGGCACACCCCAGTAAAGAGTCTGGCGATAATTTGGGTAGGATGAGAGTAGGATTAATTAGACCCGATGGAAGGGCAATGACTGGGTTTATTTTCTCCATTTGGTCTCCCTATTACCCTAAAGAATCCTTTGGATCAGGTTCAGTGGCCCATGCCTGTAATCCCAGAACTTTGGGAGGCCCAGACAGGTGAATCAAAAAGTCAGGTGATAGAAACTATCCTGAACAACATAGAGAAATCCCATCACCACTAAAACCACAAAATTAGCCAGGAGTGGGGACACATGCCTGTAATCCCAGCTACTCAGGAGGCTGAGGCAGGAGAATTGCTTGAACCCAAAGGCAGAAGTTGCAGTGAGCAGGAATCATGCCACAGCTTTCCAGCCTGGGTGACAGAGCACAAATCCATCTCAAAAAAATAAAAAATGTAAATATAAATAAAAAGAATCCTTTGGAATTATCCCAACTCTCTGCAATGTAGCCACGGATTTCTAGTGAGGAGCACACCTTCTCAGTACCCAGCTGTCTGAGAGGCCATAATTCAGTTGCTTCAGGTGATTGAAAACTATTACTTTTTTACTGAAAAGACTTAATGCCCCATGGTTGAGATTAAGCTGGATTTACAAAACGTTGAATTCATCCTTTATGTTCTCTGTGAGCAGGGGATCCTCCTTGTGTTTTTCTACATCTAGAGATGAATCTATATTTGCCAATATTTACATAAATCTGAGACATAGATCAGGTTAAAATCCTAGACATGGCCTTCAGGATGATCCAACTCTTGCCCATTTCTCTTCTCAATTATGTTGTCAGACAGAAATACTTAACATGAAGTCTCTCAGCAATAGTTACAACATTCCACTTGTAGAGAAGCTGGTGAGACAGAGAAGGGCTCGCAGTGAGAATCAAAGCTTCTTCTCAATCTTTCCGTGTATCTGTTTGTGAATACACGGAAAAGATTCTGGAGCCAGGGAAGAGCTATTAAACAGGGTAGAATCCCTGTAGATCAGAGTACTAAGTCACATGCTCATTATTAGTCACCTTCTTTGGTCAAACTCTCAGGGCTAAGCCTCTGATAGGGCTTCAGAGGATAGCATATCTGTGAAAGCCTCTAATTACATGTGAAAGGTGAAGCTCTGGCTCTGGAAGGAGGCTCCCATCTGACAGAACATCATGCTTCTCTGAGTGTGAGATTCTGTGCCCTTCCTCAGCAGGACACCACTGACTCAATAATTATTGAAGAATCATATATAAATAGGCCTTTTTTTACCATGAATTTCTTAAATAATAAAACAGAGAAAACACATTTATCCACTTTCAAATTGAGTAGGAGTGTGAGAAACTTTACAGAAAATGTCACAGAAGGAATCTTAAGCTCTGTCTATTCAAGAAAAGCCTCAAAATTCTGGTACAAACTGTTGGATAAAGCTTTTCAGAGCTTGACTTTTTGCTATATATATACATACACACACATATATACATGTAATTGGACTTTAGTTTTATATGATTTTTAAAGAATAAACCATTTTTTCCTTCCTATTTACATAATTATTTATATTTATTTACTTACTTTATTATATATATTTGTTTTATTGGGTTTCAGGTTTTGGGGTACATGTGAAAAACATGCAAGATTATTGCATAGGTACATACATGGAAATGTTGTTTGCTGTCTTCCTCCCCATCACGTATATCTGGCATTTCTCTCAATGTTATCCCTCCCCAACTCCCCACCCCCTGCTTTTCCTCCCCTAGTTCCCCCACCTCAGACCTCAGTGTGTGATGCTCCTGGCCCTGTGTCCATGTGTTCTCATTGTTCAACACCCGCCTGAGTGAGAACATGTGGTGTTTGATTTTCTGTTCTTGTGTAAGTTTGCTGAGAATGATGGTTTCCAGGTTCACCCATGTCCCTACAAAGCACATGAACTCAACGTCTTTTATGGCTGCATAGTATTCCATGGTGTATATGTGCCATATTTTCCCTCTCCAGTCTATCATCAATGGGCATTTGGGTTGGTTCCAAGTCTTTTCCAGTGCTGCAATGAACATTCATGTGCATGTCTCCTTATGATAGAATGATTTATTGTTTTTTGGGTATATACCCAGTAATGGGATTGCTGGGTTGAATGGAATTTCTATTTCTAGGTCCTTGAAGAAACACCACACTGTCTTCCATAATGGCTAAACTAATTTACACTCCCACCAACAGTGTAAAAGTGTTCCTCTTTCTCCACATCCTCTCCAGCATCTGTGGTCTTCAGATTTTTTAATGATCACCATTCTAGCTTGTGTGAGATGGTATCTGAATGTAGTTTTGATTTGCATTTCTTTAATGACCAGTGATGATGAGCATTTTTTCATATGTTCGTTGGCCTCATATATGTCTTCTTTTATAAAGTGTCTGTTCACATCCTTCACCCACTTTTGAATGGGCTTCTTTGTTTTTTTTTTCTTGTAAATCTCTTTTAGTTCCTTGTAGATTCTGGATATTAGCCCTTTGTCAGATGGGTAGATTGCAAAAAATTTTTTCCATCATTCTTGTAGTTGCTGACTCATTCTAATGACTGTTGTTTTTTTTTTTTTTTTCTGTGCAGAAGCTGTGGAGTTTAATTAGGTCCCATTTCTCTATTTTTGCTTTTGATGCCAATGCTTTTGGTGTCTTAGTCGTGAAATCCTTTCCTACTCTTATGTCCTGAACGGTTTTGCCTAGATTTTCTTCTAGGGTTTTTATGATGTTAGGTCTTTTTTTTTTTTCCTGCCCTGACCAGCCATGTGCAGAAAGCAGAAAGTGGAAATCTTCCTGACACCTTACACTAAAATTAACTTCAGATGCTTAGTATATGACTTTCTTATTATGTCTGTATTGCCATAGACTTGGGATAAAGGCTGTTTGCCCTTAACGGTATTTTGTGTGTTTCTTTTTTTCTCCCCTTGCATGTTTTATGCACAGAACAACACACACATTAGAAAACTTGCTTCCTAGATTAGACATAGACTTTGAGCCACAGAGGAATCTAGATGACAGCATAGACTTTTGCTTCTTTTGGGATTAGCATCTGAGCAGACAAACTTGGATCCTAACACTTACCTTTATATCT